CCGGGTAATGAAACGTTTGCAAGGAAAGAACCAAGCTCAGAGAACCCCAAGGACTCCACAATTTCTGTAGTAAAAATGAATATATTACCTAGAATGATGTTTCTATTTCAAACAATATCTGATTTGAAAAATGACATACCTTTTAAGCAATGGCAAAAAGTTATATCTAGATTTATATGACAAGGGAAAAAACCAAGGGTTTATAAAATTCTTCAGGATGCAAAGGAAAGAAGAGGATTAGGATTGCCTAATTTCAAATTGTATTTTGCAGCCTGCTGTTTGGTTTGGATGAAAGAGTGGGTTGAGAATAAAAGATGTTAGAATTGGAAAAATACAACCTGAGGATTGGATGGCATGGCTTTTTATGGTATGACAAAGTTAAGGTTAATGTAGACTTTAAGAATCATTATGTTAGTGCCATACTAAGAATATGGAATAGATACAAACCCAGGCTGTGCCCGAAAATGCCTTTATTGATTCAGCACAAAAAACATTTTATAGAAAAGAAACAGCGGGCAAAGAGAAATGGTTAACATATTAAGATTTGCTGGTACAGGAACATGGGAAGCTTAAAATGAAGTCAAGAGAACAATTGACTACAGAGGGATTTAGTTTTCAGTGGTTTTCATCTGCACAATTAAGAGAGGGATTTAATATAGATAAAAAAGTAATTGGAATTGAAAAACATAAAATGGAATTTGAAACTGAATTTGTACAAATGATGAACACGTGATTGCTAAAATATGTAAACTTTTGCTGAGATTTGAAACAGAAGAAGAAAAAGTTAAAGAGTGCATGATAAAATGGGCTAAGAATTTTGGTTATAATATACAGACAGGCCAATGTGAGAGAATGTGGTTAAAAGGACAGAAATTGACATTGTGTGCAATTTAAGAGAGAATTTTTACAAAATGATGTACCATTGAAATTACACCAGGGAAATTAGCTAAGATGTACAAAGTGTACTTCTAAACAGTGCTGGAAATGTGGAAAACATGAAGGGTAATGGTGAACTTATGAAAAAGCAAAAAAAAAAAAAAAAAGGAAAAGGAAAAGAAATTGAATACAAATACATATAATGATGCAAAGAATTCTAAAGACCAACATTCAGATGAAACCAAAACTGTTTTTACTGGGGCTTATGGATAACCAATTAGAAAAGACATATGGAAGATTGGTTTTGTGTATGGTAACTGCAGTATATTGTATGCACAAAGATGGACAAATGCTGAAATACCCACAATGGAGGAATGGATTGTAAAGATGATGGAATTTGCAGAAATGGCAACATTGACCTGTTTGATCAGGGATAAGGCAACAAGTACTTTTATTAAAGACTGGAAACCTCTTATGGAGTTTTTGCTGAAAATGGAAAAAAATGAACTAGTGATTTATGGATTGGCTGATTAAAAAGGGTGGAATATGAGAAGAAGAGAATTATGATGTAATTTTAATGAGGAAGGAGAGAGGATAAGTTTGTATTTGCTGTAAAGAAGTTCAGAAATCGCTTCTTTATGTATCTTTTCTTTTTTTCTATTTGTATTTCTTTTCACACTTTTCTTTCTCAATTCACTTTATTCTTTATTTTTTCTTTTTCTTTTCTTTAATCTTTATATTATTTCATGTTTATCTTTTATCTCGGTGAAAATCTTTAATAAAAATTATATTAAACAACAGCAACCATGCCACTTAGTGCAGCGTTGCAGTCGGCAAGTGAGGACTACCTGTATCAGCCTTAAATGTAATTCAGGACTGCCAACTGTTTCCTTTGAGTTATATAATAAGAGCAGCACTGCTGAATGCAATACTGATGATACCTCATTCCATTGTTCCCATTCGCCTACTCCAGTGGTTGCATGTAAATATTAAGAAGTAGGAGACAGAATAAAACCATGGATAGCTATAGTCCATGGAAGCTCATTGAGTAATTTGGGCCATTTGGGCCATTAATTACTTTTCATCTCAATATACTATTTAGCATTGTTCTTGTGGGAATAAAATTGGAGGAGGAAGTACTATATACACAGTGCTGAGCTCCTGGAAGAAAGGTGGGATATAAATCTAATAAAAAACTGGAAGTATTACATTGGGCAGCATTTTGATGAACATCATATTTCAGGAACTTATGCATTATTATAGTTAGGATATGGGAAGAATTTAATCCGAATTATGGATCTGAATATTTGGAAACCTCCCAAGTGTTTGAGTTGAGATTATTTTTGGTGAAGCAGTTCACCACTTAAATATTTTGATGTAAGCAATTCACCAGTTTCATATTTTGGTGCTGCTTTGGGTACAGTCTAGATATTATTTTTATCAAGCTTGGTCTTGTTCACTGGCTTATGGAAATGATGAAAAACAGACATAGTTGTGCCAATCTTTAAGGAACATTTGCATGTATGTGTATAACATAGTGTCTTTGTATCTCTGTGTCTGTACAGTGGTACCTCGGG